TGACTTCAGTGAAAAAAAGAGTCCAAGATGGGTGGAAATGCTTAGAAAATTCAAAAGGCATAATTAGGAACAATTCCAACAAGGTAGAAGACAACAGAAAAAGCCGATGTGGCTTCATAAAGAGCTTTGAAAAACAAAAAAGGATATGTATAGGAATTGGAAGGAAGGCCAGGTTATAAAAGAAGAGTACAAACTGGTTGCATAGAGTTACAGGAATAGCATCAGGAAGGCCAAAACTAGGAATGAAACTGAAGAATGCTAAAAACAGCAAAAAAGCCTTTTTCAGATGTGAACACAGTAAGAGACAGAGGAAAGAATTTTTTTTCCCAACGAGTCAACGTGGATGGCAAAATGATAAATGATGCAGGCAGAAGAGCTGAGTTCCTAATTTAGCTCAGTCCTCCCAAAAGAGGTTCTACAATCTTCCTGACAGAGGGGAAGTACAAGCTGAAGGAGCAGGATAGCACCTTTGATAGGCAAATAGTCAAGGATGTTTTAATTAGGTTGAATGACTTATAGAGTAATAAAGGAGCTAGCAGAACTCTCAGAACCACTGCCTGTTATCTTTGAGAAATCATGAATGACGGGAAGTGGCAGATGAATGAAGAAGGGCTAATGCTATCTTCATTTTAAGAAAAGGGGGAAGCTGGGGGAGACAAGAACCAAGGGACTGCAGACCAGTCAGTCTGATATCAATTGCAGGGAAAATTCTGGAGCAGATTATGAAGCAATCAGTCTGCAAACACCTTGAAAACAATGCAGTGATTACTAGCAGCCAACATGGATTTCTTAAGAACAAATATTGCCAGACTAATCTGATTTCATTTTTTGAATGGGTATCCTCCCTGATGGACTGTGGGAATTCTGTGGACATAATATACCCTGATTTCAGCAAAACTTTTGACAAAGTGACTATGATATCAAAGTGCCCTGATTAGCAAACTATCTAAAAGTGGGTTAGATGGAACAATGATTAGGTGGACTCACAGCTGGCTACAGAATTTGACTCAAAGAGTGATCATCAATGGCACATTTTTAAACTGGGGAGAGATAACAAGTGGGATACAACAGGGTTCTGGGCCCAGCAAATATGCTGGAATACAGAAACAAAATTCAAAGTGATCTTGATAGGCTGGAGTGCTGGGCTGAAAACAACAGAATGAAATTTAATAGGGACAAATGCCAAATTCTGCACCTAATAAAAAGAAACCAAAAGCATTGTTTCAAGATGGGGAATACTTGGCTCAACAATACTGCAAGTGAGAAAGATCTTGGATCTGTTGTAGATCACAAACTGAATATGAGTCAACTCTGTGATGTAGCTGTGAATAGGGCAGATGCTATTTTTGGCTGCATTAATAGAATTATTTCCAAATCACATGAAGCACTAATTCGTCTTCACTCAGCACTAATTAGGCCTCATCCAGTTCTGGACACCACAGTTTACAAAATATGTAGACAAGCTGGGAAGGGTTCAGAGGAGGGCAACACTTTGTTGTAAACGCTCAAAGAACATCATCTACAGGGCAGTATAGAAATGAAAGGAATAATAATAAATAATAACAAGGATGATCTGGTGACTAGAAACGAAATACTGTAAGGAGAGATTGAAAGAAATGGTCATGTTCAACCTTGAGAAGAGAAGGCTGAGGGGAGAGATGACAGCATTCTTCAAGTACTTGAAAGGTTGGCACAAACAGGAAGGACAGGATCTCTTCTTGATCACCTCTGAGTGCAAGACACTGAATAATGTGTGAAAGTTGCAGGAAGTCATATTGTGGCTGAATATCAGGAGGAATTTCCTATCCGTTAGAGCAGTATGACAATGGAAACAATTACGTAGGACAGTTATGGACTCTCGTATACTAAAGACATTCAAGATGAAGCTGAACTACCATCTGAGAGTGATGATTTAACTTGGAATCTTGCAGTAAGCAGGGGGTTGGATGACCTTCTTGGCATTTCCAATTCTACTGCTGTATCAAGATGGAAAAAAAACCTAATGGAAAGGACCTAAAATAGAGTTGTATTCAGCAATGCAAATAATGTTGCACTAGCAAAATGTAAACCTCCCCAAGATGCCAGTAATGGGATGGTATATAAAAGCTTTAAATAAATAAATAATAAAAATAAAAACAATCTCCAGGCTATGTGCAAGGACAAAGTGGCCTGCTAGCACTTGTGCAGCCACTCGTGCAATGGTAAAAAGCAGTGGAGCTCTGCACAGCGCTTTCTTTCCCTAATCGAATCTTTTAACCATGGATACTTATTTATAGTGCATGTCTATTCAGAAGTCCCATTTTATTCAATCAGACTTACTCCTAGGAATAATGTATACAGGAATGCACACTTTTTTCCAGTTAATACAAGTTCATTCTGTAAATCAAATTCACATGTGTAGATAGAGCCTTTTATACATCCTTTATGAATACATATAGGGAAATTAAGCTCATAAATCCTAGATGGATGACAGAAGTAACACAATTGCCAAGGTGAGAAGCAAAAGGTGACAGAAATAGATTCAGAATCCCAAATACAACTTCCCAGTGACTAGAAGTGAACAACAAAAGAGGAAAACCAAGAGATTTCTTCCAGAAGAGTTCCAAGATTCAAGAAATCAAATTAGGACAATTCTAACTTGACATGCGAAAAGATATCACAACTCTTCTATGACTGGCTATTTTTCTGTGAATATTTATTTGCTTATAACAATTTTATTCAAAATGTGCCTGTAGATTTCCTCAACTAGTATATCTTATGAATTATGCTACTTCTGGTGTGTTTGTTTCAATATTTTTTCATTTGGTTAGAAAGCTGAATTTTCTTTTGGTATTTTTATTCTTTTTTAACCCTCACTATTAAGATTGTGCTTAAATTAGAAATGCTTAAAATTCAATGAAGTATCATTTATCTTTGATGCTCAGGTTGTAGAGCAGGATGCTGATAGTGGTTCAGATTACAATTCTCTTTAGTGCATTAGTTAATTTGAACTTTATTTGAAGTGAGTCAACAAGAATCTATGTGAACAAAGGTTACATTCCATGTGCCTGGTAAATCTGATTGAAAGGTGCACCCACAGCTGCTGTTCTTTATGTGTTCTTTAAGCATATTCTTAAATGTGTTTATCTTTGGACTGGGGCTCACATGGGTAAAGCAGTTAAGAGACAGAATGAAACCATGCTCATAGCTTAGCTTTACGAAATTGATCCCAGCCTCTCCATGGCTACACTCATATTTCCTCCTCTCCTTTCCTCCTACAAGTAGTTCAGAAGCTTTTATTTCTGTTTTTGATTAACAAAACTTGAGTTGTGCCATCCAACTCCAAATTTTGGTTAATTTTAACTATGGTTTATTCAAAACAAGAGTTCTGAAACTTGTTTCAACATACTGTGGTTAATCTGGAATAGAGGCAGAAATTACATTTGCTTCATTGCAACCATGCCATTAAAGAAAAAGGGACGGGGGAATATGTTAATCCAGGGTTCACTGCAGTTTGGTCTTAAACTGTCAGAATGTGGGCACTGTTTGTTCAATGAGTGTTCACTGAAATGAATTGGACTTGTCACAACTATTTAAATTGATTTCAATGGAATTTATATGCAAATAATTTAATCTAAATCCAACTTATTATGTGTGCACCCCAAAAATTATAATGTGTGAAGCTGTCCTTTGAAATCCATAGATTGCCTGAAGTAATAAAATGGCAATGATCCATTAATATTAGTAGAAAGAACTTAGACCATTTAAAACAAGAAGAGAACCAGTTTTGAAAATGATTTAAAATACTGGCATACAGAATTCTTCAAAGCCTTTTCTGTGTAATAAGTTCAAATTATTTTCAGAGTTGGTCTACTTGTGAGTAACATTTTGGTGAATCTGATCACCCCCACACCCAATCTTTGAAAATTATTTTTTCACCATAAAATAAACCAATGGTGCCAAAATGAAACGTACTAAACCATGGGAATTAGTTGCCTTGGTAACATCTGGGGAAAGGGCTTATCAGGACTAAATCACTATTTTGCTCTTCATTCTTTTACAATTATATATTATTGCTTTTATGTGGAGAAGTTATATTCATGGCATTTCTGAAGACAGTTTTGAATACATGAGACCCATAAGGTGAACAAAGACTAGGTATAGGGTACATCTCAGGTTTTATACTAGAGAAAGGGACAGCAGAGACTGCATGTATTATTCATCTTACCTCATAATGGAGAGAGTGCAGTAAAAATGAGTCAGTGCAGATTCACCCACTCTTAGATAATGTGTGGGTGGGAGATACCTGTATCGTTGTGCAGGATTATATGTTGAAATGTATCATTTTTGGACGTAGCTACAGTTTAAAACTTGTAATGCATATGGACATATATGATGGATTGAATCCAAAAGTTCCTTTTCTTTTCAGCCAAAAGGGTTCCTTCTGGCAAAGGAAAGGAACTATTGGATCCAGTCCCAAACATTCAGTTTTGAATTTATAATTTATACCTCTAATTTATATTTCTAATATAGCCCTGTAGGGACATATCAAAGTCTTTGACTGAAATGACAGATGATAAGACGAGCCCTTTCTCCTTTTTAATTGGCCAATCTGTTTGGCTAAAATTTCATAGATGTGATGGTTCCTAGTGATTAGCAATCACACAAACTCTTCCAATTGACAACATTGATCTGGTTCACCTCATTTTTTAACTCATGGATTGTTGAATTATGAGTTGCTGTAATGCAGCCACACTAACAAACTATAGCTAGTTAACAAGGAACAACCTAGAAAGAGGATCTATGGTTTGTTGTTGAGCTGTGAACTCTGGATTGTTTAAATGATGGATTGTTGTTCTGTGAAAATGCAGATCTGTGGGTTATTTTGCCAGGCTAAAGAGGTGAACAAGGCCGTCATGTATGCAGAAGCAGGTTATGTTGCATTGTTATTTTTTTGCTTACATATGGATGTAGTGTTGCCAGCATGCCATTGAACATGTGTAAAACCATGTGTTTCATAGATGACTCAGCTGCAGAGAGTTTTAACGGCAATGAGACTACAGGACACAGTTCCAATGCTTCAGGGGGAACACACTGCAGGGAAGTGGCAGAAGCCAACAGCAATGGGAAAACAACTCTGGAATCGGATGAACAGCCTCTGAACCTGAGTGACAGTCCCTTCTCTGCTCAGCTCACTTCAGAATACAGGTTAGATGACCAAAGCAGTGATGGAAAGAACAAGTACAAGAACATCCTAGTATCTGATCTTAAGATGGAACAGGAGACAAAAGAAAATGGAAGCAAGGTAAGATGCTTCCATATTCACAAGATATTATAAGAGCACAACCCAGGAAGAAAACAAAACAAACAAACCCTGTAATGGTTCAATAGCTTTTGAAGTTGGCACAATAGTGCAATAGTTGACATCAAGATGTCTCTGCTGTTTTGTGTGCACAATGCATATTAGTATGCATAGTAATACACTAGCATTTTTTCAACCAGAAAAATACTCTGCAAGTTTTTAGTTTCTGATCAGAAATATTTTTCTAAATATTTGAAGAAACATATGGAATCTTTCTGCAGAATGAATCACATGCATAGCATATGGCCTTATTTGGTGTAGTTGAATACTCTTATTATGTTGACTTGGCATTACAGCTGTTTATTGCCATTTATAAGCATGCATGCCCATGTGTGAATTAAAATTGGGAAGTTTATTGCAAGAAACTGAAATTTCTGAAAATTGATTTTCCCCCTTATTCCTACTGTATTAGCTGAGAAAGAGTATGGTGGCTGTGCATAAATAGATCATGCAGAATGGATAGTTAGCATGATAGGAAGGTGTTTGTCATGAATGTATTGTAAGAAGAATGAAGAGATGTATTTAATCTAATAGTGTTTTTCCACAGGCCACTTCAGCTGGTTTTTTAAAAAACAAAAACTGATACTGCCTATGGGACTATCATTTTTACCAAGCTAAAAATGAATACTAGGTAGGAATGCATTTAATGAGCTTAATACCCAGCAGTAAAATACTATAAATTACTTTGGCTTTTTAAATGCCATTGTGGTCTGCTGCTGCTTTACGTGCTTTATAAATAAAACCCCAAAACATATGAAAATAGCTTGTTGGGTTGTGGATTGTTGGCATGATTAACAAAGGCCCAATTCCATGGGCTATTTTAGCATTATGGATAATTTATTAACCACACCAATAACCTACCCTCACTGCATTTGGATGACAGGACAAGCTGCATTCACAAGTGTTCCATGTTAAACTTCTTACAGAGAGGGATAAAAATATAATACGTAGATGTATTAAATATTTTAACACAAATTCGCAGTTCCTAAGGAAAATAAATAGTTTAGTAACAACTACCAATAAAACAATAAGCAATTAAGCAGCATACTAAAACCAAATTTCACTTTTGATTTTGGTTACACTGCTAAACTGTACCTGTTAACTGTTTAGCTTTTATCAGTTGCCTACTCTTAAAATCCATTTTAGCTTCACTGATTAACATCTGTTTACACAGCTCTGTTTTCATCACAAACTTTTTCCTTTTCATGCCTTCCACATTCATTCCATACCATTTCTGTGGAGTATACATGAAAGAGTCCATCAATTTTTGTCCACATTTTCAAATGGATGCATTAATGGACACATTCAGGGACAACATGGGCACATTAGTCACCAATGACTACAGTGCTATTGTAGAAATGTTTACAGTAGTGATGTACAGTGCACCAACTAAAAGATCGCACTTGAATTCAAATTGGGAGCTTTGCAAATGATAGGATTCTGCTCAGACCTATACAAAGGCCATCTGCTTTGATGTAATATTGAGCCTGGATTAAGATTCAGAAATTTGGAGCTTCATGTGTCCCCCACCCCCATCTTGAAAAACTTTAAAATGCCTGTGTTTCTTCCCTTTGTCAGCAGAGGCCACATAGCTTTTGAATAAGTTGCTACCAGGACTCCACCATATCCTATCATTGTAGGGTTTTTACAAGGCCCTGAAAGCATCCTGTTTACTTTGGTCTTCTTCTGATATGCTAGTTATTATTGCTGTTTATATTACTGTTACAATTGTGGGGTTTGTTTTATTTTTGCTCTTTGCATTGTGTTTTAATGATTTAAAAGAACTTACTGGTTTCTATTATGTGCATTACCCGGGAAAGGATTTTGTCCTGAAAGAAATATAATCATCATCATCATCATCATCATCATCATCATCACCATCATGATGCTAAATTTCAAAATATAAGTACAGAAGTTTTGAGTTGAATGCCTTCTTTTGTTTTTGTTTTACATAATGCAATGTCAGTACTTCCATTTCTTGGCAGATGAATTTTGCAGAGATTTTGGCCTCTTCAAAGTGATTTTTGTCAAAGAGTAGCCTTTACATTTTGAATGTAGGCAAAACAGGACATCCTAATTGCAAATGGCATCTTCTCACTAAGATGCAAGAAGGTGAGCTCGGTGTTCTAGGTAGTGGCTGCACCAGGTTAGGAGCAGGAGGTAGATGCTACACAAAACAGTTACACATGAAGCAAATTGACAATACGGGTAGGGTGTGTTTGGCTGTACAAGAAATAAAAATGAGATGGAGAAACCGAGTTAGAATAACTGCAACTACAACAACAACAACAACAACAAAAACTACAGGTTGATAACAATGACTAGAACGACAAAAGTTGGACCACGTCAGCCAGTGTTGTGTTTCTTGAACGTTGTTTTTTCGGAAAGTCTGGAAACCAGCTGCAAATTGCCTCTGTTTTTGCATTTAGATCCAGATGGTACAAATTGGATAAATCTGTTTTTAACTGTTTTTAAACATAATTTAGCAGATTATGTTAGGTCAGCAATAGATTACTAGTCGTAGAGGACTGGGGAGAGGTTCTTCAGTGGAATATAGTTTTGATTCACAAATTAATAGTGGGGGTATAGTCACCATCAAGGTACTTCAAGCTTTCAGCACTGAGCCTGCTTTTCTCTTCTGACACTGCATTTTGAACATTTTAATATATAACTTGTGCAGTTTGAGCAATGTAACAAAGTGGGAAGAACCTATTCATTAAAATAGCAGCTCAGATTGAGAATTCAGTTTTGAATGTTTATTTTTTGAACATTTTCTTTCCTGCCCGCCATGACCTTGGGGATGAGCTTTAGTGTTGGGATCATAGCTACTTTTTAAAAATGGCTATTTAGCTTTTCTAAATACGTGTCTGGCTAGATCTGAATTTTGAAACTCTTGCTTTTGGCTACATTTCTTTCTGTGGTGCTACCAAATTAAAATAATTTTACAGGAGAGATCTGAGGGAACATTTTCCTTCCTGCCAATGTTGGTATCCTCCTGACAGGATGATGATAGTGCATTGGTTATTTATTTATTTAAAACATTTCTATGCCGCCCCCATCGCAACAAAGCCTCGGGGCGGCTCACAACATAATTAAAACATATAAATAACAGTTAGTACAATTAATTAAAAAGCTTGGTAACATCTCGGCATAAAAATTTAAATCCTAAAAATACATAATAAATTAACAATTAAAATAAGTTTTAAATAAAAAGGTCTTAGCCTGGCGCCGAAAAACAAATAACGACGGCGCCAGGCGGACCTCTCTGGGGAGCGTATTTCATAGGTGGGGTGCCACTGCAGAGAAGGCCCTCCTCCAGGTACTCACCCTCCTAATATCATTCATGGAGGGTTCCTGGAGAAGGGCATCTGTTGCTGATCTCAAGGGGCAGGAGGGCATATATGGTTACAACCCACTTTCCTGCTGTAAAATCTCTGCTTCTTGTTGCTGTGTGTTCTTGCCTGTCATACCATTTACCATTTTTCTTATTTCAGAATCATAAATATTTCAATTAACTATTTTATGCATTTTTAATATGCAATTAGAAGCTTAATTAGTTGTAATCCACTGCAATTTGCCCTCTAATTATGAAAATGTGCTATCAGGCTATCTAAATTTGAAATTCTACATTTCATTAGTTACAAGTTTGAATCATTCACAATATAAGAATGAACTGGGAAGAATAAACCATTTAAGTACATCTCTTTATTGTTATTATTGCAGTTTTAAAATAATAATAATAATAATAATTGTTCATGTTTATATTGGCACATAGTGGAAACTGTCTGGGTGGTTTATAACAATGTATAAAAGAAAACAATAAAATACCATAAAATACCATACAAATGCCATAAAATATTAAAATGAAATTAAAATAGCTTTCAAAATACATTAAAAAGACCCTGCAAAGGAAATGAATCACCTAAATGATCCCTTAGGCCCCTGGATGTCTTAGGAGATCTTTAAAGGCAAGCATATACTGTGTGTGGATATGGGTGTGTGTGGGTATGCATGAGGGGATCTGTCCTAAGTGGTTTTCACAATGAAACCAAATGGATTTCTTATGGTGGAACAAAGCTTATCACATAGAACTGTTCAAGGCACAGGTTTCTGTGGACTCAGTATCTGTTATGTTTTTTTCCCTTTGCTATGATCCTTACACCCAAAACCATATATGGCACATATACTGTAGCCCTCACAATGCTCCAAATATTCTTGCTTGATAATATCTAGTGGATTAAAATCCACTATAGCTGCATTTAGTTAAACTTAATGAATTTATAGGGATTGGAGCAGGCAGATTACCAGTGGGATATATATTTATGTAACTAGAGGCAGCAAAACTCCAAGAAGGGCACCCAGCTGCCACTACACTAAACCACACCTCTGCACTAATTTTCCTGGCTTATACCATATGCACAGCTCTGCTAAAATTTCAACAAAATTCAGTACCTGGCAAGGGAAGTCAAATTCTGTGACTAATAAATTTGGCGCACTGCTTAATTGATCTTATTTTTTGCATAGTCTATTCTATATTTTGCTAATTTTCATATTTTATTGTATTGTAGCTAAACATGACAAGGGTGAAAGGAGCTGTTGTTCTTACTCTTATTGACTTAATATCATATCTTATACTTTAGGTAGCTTGCAACTTTAACAATTAACACTCCCTCTGAATCTAACTAAAACATATAATGATTAGCAGATTTAGAGTGATTTCTGTTCCTTAGCAGCATAGTATTCAGTAGCTTCTCCCATAATTCTTCAGCTCGTTAAGCAGAACAAACATTGGTCACAAATAATGGTTATAACTCTATATCAAAATGTCATCATTATATTGTACTCACATAATGAGTGCTTTAAGTTAATAATAATTTTGAATGAGAAATGCACTGTTGGGTAGGTGTGAAAAGGGCAGTTCTCACTGCATCAGAAATGTTATT